TGTTGCTTAAAATGTTTTCTACAGACAGTTCCTCTTGTTTGTTTGAACAGATTTATGGTTGTAGCTGTTTTTGTATGTCTCAAATGAACGTTGTTGTGTAGCTTTTTGAGCTGGGGCCCGATGGGGGCGACCATGAGACCGACGGTGATCTGCTCGCCGAGACTGATGTTCTGGCCTACGACTGTGCAGCCAGGTATGGCTGAAGCATCATTCTTTTTCACCAAAATATATAAATAGATACTTATTTGCCTGTTTGCCGCTATTTTTGTAAAAAAAAATTAAAAAAAGCTATGCCAATATAATTTTCATATGATTTCTGTTCCTGTTTGTTTTCAGGGAGAAATATGCCATGATGTTTGATGAACCGGTGCTGCTGCAGCTTGGCTGGTGGTACGTGGCGTGGGCCCGAGTGTCTGGTCCCAGCAGTGACTGTGGTTCCCATGGACAGGCAACCATCACGACTGATGATGGGTAAAACCCATTTACTATCCAAATACCGTAATAACTTTGTGCATATATACATACATGTGTTTGGCATTGTAAGTAATAATTACCATTGTTTCCTTGTTTTTTATGTCTTTTTTTTAGTGTGGTCTTTCAGTTCAAAAGCTCTAAAAAGTCAAACAACGGTACAGATGTTAATGCGGGTCAGATACCTCAGCTTCTTTACAGGCACGTAAAGTTCTCTATATTTTGTCTAAAGCTTTTTGTGCTGACAGGGTTAACAGTGTTTTTTTTTTTTTGTTTTTTTTTTTACATTAGACTTCCTTCAAATGATGGCAATGCATCTAAAGGAAAACAGCAGAGCAGTGAACCAGTCCACATCCTAAAACGTTCGTTTGCCCGTACGGTTTCAGTGGTGAGTACTGTTTGTGTTTTTATCAGTGGTTCACAATAAACCACGTCACTGTCGTAAGAGGTTTTTTACAGCACTGATTTTATCTCTGTTTGTAGGAGTGTTTTGAGTCTCTGCTGAGTATCCTTCACTGGAGCTGGACCACGCTGGTCTTGGGTGTTGAGGAACTCCGAGGGCTGAAGGGTTTCCAGTACACGGCCACGCTGCTGGACCTGGAGAGACTGCGCTTTGTTGGCACATGCTGCCTCCGCCTGCTCAGGGTCTACATCTGTGAAATATTTCCCATCACTGGTAGGAACATAAAACATTTGAATGCATTGTGTAATGGTTCTTTGCAGCAAAGAAACTGGGATATCATTATAGTTTTATTGGTGATTTGTGTTTAAAAGGGTGGAAAAATAGGCACTGATGCTGCTTTTTTCTCACTTCATCCAGAATTGTTTCCAATATGCGTAGTACAAAAATTACATTTCGTCCCATTTTTTAAAATCTTCTGTTCAAATCTCAGTTTATTTTTCTCTCTTGTTTGATTTCTAGCCAGCACCAAAGCTGTGGTGGAGGAGTCAAGCAAGCTGGCAGAGTGTGTGGGAAAGACACGCAGCCTACTGAAGAAGATCCTGTCAGAAGGCATGGACAACTGCCTGACCAAACTGGATAATGACCCTCAGGGCTACTTGTCTCAGCCGCTTACCTTGCTGGAGGCTGTGCTGCAGGAGTGTCACAACACCTTCACCGCCTGCTTTCACTCTTTTTATCCCACTCCAGCTCTACAGTGGGCTTGCTTGTGCGATCTGCTCAACTGCCTTGACCAGGTAGGGTGATGTCATACAGCAAATAATCATCCTCAGAATTTCAGAATCATTGGTTTTAAACAAGTTTTTTTATTATTATCAGAAAAAAGTTTTAGCTTCCTAGAAGAAAAACAATTATCTTCCCTCACCTTAGGACATTGCCGAAGCCAACTTCCGCACATCCAGCAGCCGCCTGCTGGCAGCTGTAATGTCCGCTCTGTGTAACACCTCAGTGAAGCTGACATCCATCCTTCCAATTGCATATGATGGAGAAGTGCTGCTGCGCTCACTAGTCAAACAGGTCAGCACTGAGAACGACTCTGCCCTAGCGCATCGCTTCCCCCTGCTTGTGGCACATATGGAGAAACTAAGCCATGTGAGTTATTTGCTCATCTTTAGACTGTCGCTTAGGAAAGGTTTTATTGATGAGCTTTTATTTGTCATTACCATCGAACGTGAACAGTTTAGAAATCCCAAAGTGGTTTAGAGATGTCTGTGTCTTACTGCTTCAGACGGAGGAGAACCTGATGGGTATGACCAGTTTCCGGGAAGTACTGGAGAAGATGCTGGTGATTGTGGTGCTGCCAGTGCGGAAGAGTTTGAGGAAGGAAGTAGAGCTGTTCTCTCCTCACCTGGTCTCCAATACCTGTGGGCTGCTGGCCTCCATTGTCTCGGAGCTTACTGCATCAGCCATGGGCTCTGAGGTAACTCCATTCACACAACACAAACAACAGGCTGCAAGGAAAACAATCATCATGAATGTTCTCTGTTAACTTGTTTTTCAGGAACATAAAGACAAAAGTCAAGTGATTTTTTTTTTTTTTTTTTTTTTTTTTTTTGTACAACATATTTTATGAACAGCATTCCAATGGGCTTAACAACAATCACAAAAAAAAGTTTTAAAATTCTTATACATCACCTTTAGGGTCAACGGAGAGTTAGTCAGTCCATTTTGTTTCAGTTTTATGTTTTTAAATTTGACTCATATTTGTCTATCCATGTTGAATTATGTTTTAAATTCATTGGTTTGCACTATTTTCTCTCAACGCAGCTGAATCATAACATGGCTTATAGTTATTGCAACTTGTCTTATTTCTCTTCATCAAGGCTTTGCTCTTTCACCTAAAATGTTTCTGAAGTTTTTAGTGACAGTGACAGACATGGTGTCTGGACCGCTGCTAAAAACAATAACAAGTTTAGGAGTGGGGGTGTTTTTTGTTCTGTCCTTATGGTATGTTGAGTCATTATGTGGGAGTGGCAGATGTCTTTCACCCTCTCATCTATCACATATGTGCACTGACTGTCATCATCATTGTTTGCTACCTCATGCTCTGCAGTCAGGACTCCTGTTGCCACGGTAACGTCACCTGACAGCAGCCCTTCACTCCACAGTTTTTCTCCCCAGTCTGTTGTCAGGGAAACAAGTCTTCCTCCCGCAAGTACCTGATCAGGTCCCTCTGCAGCTGCGTCTGGCTCTTTGCAGTCAAGAGGCTCATATAAATAATTATTGTTTACTTCCCCTGAGCATGTGAGAGTTTTATCCCAGACATTCTGCTTTTTTTATATTTGAGAGTAAATATACTTTTCTGGATTTCTCATGAAGATAACAATTTTTTTCCAGTTAGATTAAACCAGTGCTTCTCAATTATTTTCTGTTACGCACCCCCTAGGAAGAAGTAAACATTTTGCGCCCCCCCCCCCCAACTCTCCTCCGTGACTGTAAATAGTATAATTTGTCTATAAAATTGTTATAAGTACACCTCTACATAACATTGTATCCTTATTAACATTAAATAAAAAAAGATAGAAATATAGATCAATTTACAACAAAGATTATTAACATTGTTTTATAGTCTGTAACAGAAAAAACTTAAAGTGCATCAGTTTGCCTGAAAAAAAAAATCTATCCTTATTTAACTGTAAGCATTTTTGACCATTTGATACTGAAAAATCTAATTACATACAATCGATACATAATAATAAATTCAAATTGATCTACAACATTTTAAGTCAGGAGTGTTATATACAACACTTTGACCTACAAAACAAAAATGAATAAAACGATTTGTGCTGATTTTTATTTATTTTTTAATCAAAATGAGGAAGTCAAGATTAATGGCTACAATGAGCACGTTTTGCAGTGCACAGCTTTTTGAAGCCGAGTTTGAAACATGATCCTGCAGCTCTCAGCTCCTGCTCAAAGTTTAGCTGAATCTGGACCTGGACTTGGTCTCAGAGCAGCAGAGAAGTCGCAAAGAGCGCAAGAGCAAGCGGGCTGGGTGTGTGTGTGTGTGTGTGTGTGTGTGTGTGTGTGTGTGTGTGGGTCCAGGGGAACGCGCTCACAAGAGAAGAACCTGACAAGTTGTTTAGTGACATAAAATATATTTTGTTAGCAAAGAGTAGAGTCTCAACATTTGTTAAACATACGTTTTTCCAACAAATAAAAAAAAACATCAAAATTGTACTTTGACAATCGATAAAACTAAAAAAATGTTGTCAGTGTGAAAGAGGGGGCAGGTGTCGCTCTCGCTTTGAGTTTATACTCTTTGTTGCTGTGCGCTGTGGGTGAAATGTGTCCAGAGCAGAGGATTTGTTAGCAAAGAATAGAGTCCTAACATTTATTAAACTTTACTTCTGTATTAAAAAAACATCAAACTTGTGCTTTGACAAACCAAAAAAAAAAAACCCGTTAAAGTGAAAGAGGAAGAGGGGCAGGTAACGCGTGCTGCGGGTTCAGCAGCAGAGGGAAGCGGCACGGTTCAATCATGGCTCCTCAAACGACAAGACGGACATATTTGTTCATAACTTTATTATTATTAAGACTGAGAGTTGCCGGATTTTAGCAAACAGTTGCCGAACGCACCCTAACAAAATGAGAATGGTGGGAAAAAAAATTTACTCCCTGCCGCAAAATGTTCCTCGGGGTCACATGCGCCCCCCCCCCAGCATTGCTCCGGCCCCCCCCCCAGGGGGGCGCGCCCCACTATTTGAGAAGGGCTGTATTAAACAAAGAAGTGTCATAATGTTGATATATTTGGCTACATGTTTTAGCATGTACTTGTTTATTAGGTTGATGGGCTGAACTCGCTTCACTCTGTGAAAGCATCTCCCAACCGCTTCACCAAAACAAGCCAGGGGCGCAGCTGGAACACGGGCAACGGCTCCCCAGATGCCATCTGTCTGACTGTGGACAAGCCAGGCGTTGTTCTGGTCGGTGTCTGTGTCTATGGGGGAGGCGGCATCCATGAGTATGAACTAGAGGTGCTCGCAGATGATGTAAGTAATCATGACTCATTTCAGCCTAAACGATCCCTTCATTTCAAATTTTCATTTTGTTTCTTGGGAGCTTTTTGTTTCTTGTTGTACAACTATTATTCTGTTTGATTTCAGGCTCAGACAGAACACCCAGGAGACTCGGCACATTCTCACAGGTGGACGTCTCTTGAGCTGGTCAAAGGAACCTACAGCACCGATGATTCTCCCAGTGACATCGCAGAGATTCGCATGGATAAGGCTGTACCACTTAAGGTATACGAGCACTCCCAGAAACGGTTGTTTAGGGACTTATTGTCAACATCTGTATCTGTTTAACTTACTGCAGGATAATGTGGGTGAAATTGCTAGCATCTTTTGAATTTTTTGACTACATGCACAATCTGTTAAATTTATCAGTCTATGCCTTAATCTATTACAGGAAGGGGTAAAGTATGCGGTCCGGTTACGAAACTATGGCAGCAGGACGGCTAACGGAGATGGAGGTATGACCACAGTGCAGTGCTCTGATGGTGTATCATTCACCTTCAGCACTTGCAGCTTGAGTAGCAATGGAACCAACCAGACCAGAGGTCAGATCCCACAGGTCCTTTACTACAGGTAAACACAGAGCCTGACTTCTCACATGTTGCACATTAAAAACAAATCTGATCCAAGTTTTTCTCACTACTGAAGGAGTGAGTATGATGGAGACCTGCAGTCTCAACTGCTAAGTAAAGCCAACGAGGAGGACAAAAACTGCAGCAGAGCTCTGTCTGTGGTTAGTGCTGTGGTCCGAGCTGCAAAGGACCTCCTTCACAGATCATTTGCAGTTGATGGTAAGCACTTCTTCTGTTTGGAATACTTGTGATTCACTGGGTCTTTTAAATGAAATAGGTCGTTTTATCGTTCCAGTAGATGATATCCCAGAGTTGTTGAGTTCCTCCAGCCTCTTCTCCATGCTCCTGCCTCTTATTTTGGCTTACATTGGCCCTGTTGCTGCATCGGTGCCTAAGGTAACGTTTAAAATAAGGAGGGTAAATCCTTTTATCTATCATTAATATGACTATTCATGTGTTGTAATACCTCTTCGTTTTTCTTCCAGGCTGCTGTTGAGGTCTTTGGACTTGTTCAAGAGTTGCTTCCTGCTGTCTCTGGTCTCAATCAAAAATACGCCCCACCCACCTTCAACCCCAACCAGTCAACAGACAGCACCACTGGCAATCTGCCCGAGCAGGGCCTGTCAGCTTGCACCACCTCAAACCACTACTCCGTGATTGAGAGTGACCATCCTTACAAACAAGCTGGTGTCACACAATATAGGGTACTGTTCCTGTTAATCTGCTGTTGATAAAGATTTTAATAGTAAAACTGAAATATTTTTAAATAACCTCATTCTGTCTCACTGTTTTTGTAGGTGTCATTTCCAGACTGCGTTCGTTGGACCACCATTGAGTTTGATCCACAGTGTGGCACTGCTCAGCCAGAGGATGTTCTTCGTTTGCTCATCCCCAGCCGCACACTCCACCTATCCAACTTTGGTGGCAAACCTCTGATCCACGACACCATTAATACCTGGACCGAGCTCAAGAAGTTCTCGGGCTCTACTGGATGGCCGACCACTGTTCTTGTGCTTCCAGGTAAAAACAAATGAGAAGGGTTTGACTGCTGTCAGACTCAAAGCTTCAGCTTCAGTAAAACAGTCCGTTGTTTTCACTTTATGTGCCGTGTAAAATAAAAACTTTATAGCAAGCAGCCATTTTTTGGTCTACATTTATTTATTCAACACCGCTCACCCACCTGGTTTTTATGTCTTCTCTATTTTTAGGAAATGAAGTGCTCTTCTCACTTGAAACAGCTTCAGATTATGTAAAAGATGAAAAAGCTTGCTTCTACGGCTTCAAGTGTGTGGCTATTGGATATGAATTTAATCCTGGTCCTGATGAGGTACGGAAACTTTACAGAGTTGGACTTTATAGTTTTTTTAGGGCTGATATTGTTTTTAAGAAGAAGAATGGAGGATTTTTTTTGCATTTGATTTAGGTATAAAAAGTAACTTGGGGGAGCTGTGGCTGAGTGGTTTGAGCAGTTGTCCGGGGGTTCGATTCCACCAGCAGTCACATGCTGAAGTGTCCCTGGGCAAGACACTGAACCCCTCATTGCTTCCGATGTGTGTCCCATCAGTGTATGAATGTGATAAAACACTGATTAGTCTTTGTATAGATATAGTACAGTGCTGTATGAATGGATAAATGAGGACACAGATTGTGTTGTAAAGCCCTTGTTTGTTGATAAGATAGAAAGGTGCTATAAAAGTACAGTCCATTTATAATAATCTAATAACATAAACCCTTAAATAGAAAACTTAAAGTCAACACTGCAGCGTCTCTCGTGTCTGTTCTGTACGTTTCAATTAAATAAAATATAAACACTCCCTTTTCAAATGTGCTTACTTTGCTGTAACATACAGTTTTATATTTTATTTACATTTAATAGAACTATTTTGATTAGTCTGATTAAATTATTTCAATAGGAAATATCTACTCCAAGTCATCCATCTCTACATTGTGCTCAAGTCACGTAACAAACAGGCCTGATACATCTTAGGATATTGTGTTTTTTTGTGTGTGCGACTGTAATGCACTCTGTCTTGTCATCTTTTCAAGGTAGAGTAACTTTCTGAGCAATTGCTTCTGACATTTCAGGGCATCATCCAGTTAGAAAAAGAGCTGGCGTTCCTTGGCAGTGTGTGTGCAGCTGCTCTGATGAAGAAAGATTTGGCCCTTCCTATTGGTATGAAGAATGACGTTTGCTGCAGCTATTTTGGTTTTCCTTTATAATGGAAATACATTACAGTTCTGAGGAGAACACAATATTTGTTGACCTGTATATTTTTTATTTTAGGCAATGAATTGGAGGAAGATCTTGAGATTCTTGAGGAAGCCTCTCTTCAGGTGTGTTTTCTGTTCATTTCTGATTTAATAATTTATTCATGAGGAAAAAATACAGCACTTCAACTTGTAGGGTTTCTTATTCTGTCTGTCCATTGTTTTCACTCAGGTGTGTAAATCCCACTCTGGAATTCTGGGGAAGGGTCTGGCTCTGTCTCACTCTCCCACCATCCTTGAGGCTCTGGAGGGAAATCTGCCCCTCCACCTTCAAACCAATGAGCATTCTTTCCTTGAGGACTTCATCACCTGTGTACCAAACTCAAGTGGAGGGCGTCTGGCCAGGTACCTTACTGTGCTTTGATTCAGGCACTAATACAATTCTAACAACCAGGACTTTTTACAAATGTTAAAATGAAAAAACAAACTGAGAATTATGTGAAAGCTTCAAGCTGTTTATGTATTATGCCATAACGTCCCTTCTACTGTTCAAACTTTAACTCTGCACTTTTCTCTCTTTGTTTGTTCTGTCCAGATGGCTACAGCCTGACTCCTACGCAGATCCTCAGAAGACTTCTCTGATCCTGAACAAAGATGACATACGCTGCGGATGGCCAACCACTGTGGTCGTTCAGACCAAAGACCAGTATGGGGATGTGGTGCATGTTCCTAACATGAAGGTATCGAGCATCACTTTTTGCTGCTTCCAAGACTGCATTTTGAAATCAATTTAAGTAGTTCTTCTGGTGTTTCTGACAACTGTATATTTTTATTCTCCGTTTTCTCTTTAGGTGGAGGTGAAGGCGGTACCTGTTTCTCAGAAGAAGTCAGTTCAGCCAGATAACATGAAGAAGCTGCAGAGGCTGCCTGGAAGCTCCTCCCCTTCTTCTTCTGGTCCTGACCTAACCTTCGGAGGTCTGCCAGTTCCAAAGCTGGAGGCCACGTATGAACCAGTGATAGTGAAAGAAGCACGATACATTGCCATAACCATGATGAAGGTCAGCTTTGTGGCACTTACACACAGTCTCTTTCACTTTGTAGGGTTTATTAAATAGTTTGCAGATTTAAAAAGAGCGTTTGTTATTGAGAAAAACGTAAATAGTTTATGCTAGTTGACTGCAGCAGGTTTCTATAGATAGGTGTTTTTTATTTTTACTTTCATGCTAACACCCTGTGCCTTTTCAGGCGTATGAAAGCTACTCTTTTGAAGAGCTGCGCTTTGCTTCACCTACCCCAAAGAGGTAAGCAAGTGGATGCAGAAACCCATCATGTATTCCACTGAGATTCGTCTTCTTTTTTTTTTTGTTGTTCCCTCTTCAGGGGTCGCCACAGCAAGTCATCCCCTCCATCTCTCTCTGTCCTCACTCCAGCTACCTCCATGTCCTCTGAAACTGCATCCATATACAGTAGTCCCTCATTTATTGTGGGGGTTACGTTCCGGACCCCTCCCCCCTGCAATAAGTGAAGTTCTAAACTCTTAAACCTATTAATTTTAACAACATACGCTCGTACGTATATGTAATTACTAATTTTTACTCACCAACTCTGCAGAACAGCAGCAATTCTGTTCTGGTCCAACTTGGTTCCGTTTTGTCAGCCCTACCCTGCCGGTTCTGGTCGGCTCTCTGGCTCAGGGTAGTAACGGTGGGCTCCGGACAGAACGCCGGACCTATGGGTGGTGCATCCCCCTCTCTGAAGTTCTCATGGGCCGGCAAGCAGCTCTCAGATTGACCGATGAGTCTGAAAATCCAATTCTGCTCTCGTTCTGGTCCGGTTCTGTGCAGCCCTTGAGCACCAAAACGCATTTTGGGGGGAGCCGGACCTTCGGATGGCCAGCACGGGACCAGATGGTTGTTTAATTGAGTCCAAATCTGGAAGTCCTGGTGGGCTCCGGAGAGAACACCGGACCTACGGGTGGCATGTCCCCACTCGGAAGTCCTTGTGGGCCAGCAAGCAGATCTCAGATTGACCGCTGAGTCTGGAGGTCCGGATCTGCTCTGGTTCCCAGTGGGTTCCGTGCGGCTCTCTGCATCTGCTGGGCGCTGAAGTCACTGAATGAATAAGGACTGAACTTTTTTTGATCAGATCAAAACTTTCCCTCGGGGGGCCACAATTAAAACCTTTTTCAAACTAAGGGCCAATTTCAGAATCTACATTAATTCAAGTTACATACCCAACATCTTTTCTTGGTTGCAAGTTCCTCAACAAGAGTTTGATTGGTCTCATTTGATGTTTCCTTCTGCACATTCAACATCATAATCAAAGATTACTGAAAAAAATTCAAGTGATAAAAGTATTTTATGTTTAACATATCATCTTGGGGGCCAGATAAGATGTCCAAGAGGGCCCCATTTGGCCCCCGGACCTTGAGTTTGACACATTTGCTCTAGTATTTCAGCAGAAGGAAATGGCGTTTCTGGGTGGGGCACTATTGGCTTCTGGGAAATGTAGTCATTATGAGTGGGGATACAGTGTAGGCTTATTGAGAGAAAACTACAAAAGGGCGACGCCTGTCCAAAGTATTTTGTTTTTTTTTGTTAACTTTTACTGTACAGTATCCTGTACTGTCCCAATCACATAATATTAAAGCTGACAATCGTGTTGTGTACAATTTTTTTATTTATTTTTTCCTCATGTACAATTTATTTTGAAAAACTGCAAAAGAGCGAGTCTGCGATAGATGAACCGTGAAGTAGCGAAGGACTACTGAATCTCCTCTTTGTCTTTTTCCTGGCAGCTGCATTTCTAACATCCTTCTACCTATATACCCACTGTCCCTCCTCTGGACATGTCCAAATTATTGAGATTCAGTATGCTTATTGATTCCTCTTATTGATTTCTCTCTGTATAGACCGAGTGAAAATATGCTCATCCGTGCCAACACTGATGGAACCTACAGTGCTAACTGGACTCCAGGAGCAGTTGGCCTTTATACAATTCATGTTACCATTGATGGCATTGAAATAGGTATACTTTCTCAGCCTACCACCTAATGTGTGATAGTTGTGGATTTTCAGTGTTGTCTAAACTTGAGACGGATTTCCTAACGATGTTTAAATTTGCTGTGTTTAAGATGCTGGTTTGGAGGTAGAAGTCAAAGACCCTCCAAAAGGTATGATACCGCCTGGAACTCAGATGGTCAAACCAAAGACAGAACCTCAGCCGAGCAAGGTGAGTTATGAACCTCTGGGCAGCATTTTTCTTTCTTTTTTTAAATTGTGTTATTACAAACCAAACATCAATGAACCACAATAATCTATGGACATGAAAACTAATAATAAATCATCTGTTTACAAGACATGGGAAGTAAGGCTAAGGATAAATTCCCCATTTGATGAGGCGGAGCATTCAGGTGTAATGTTGCGTAATAATATGCTCTAGTTGTAGTAGCAAAAATAAACTTTGTATATTTTTTGTGTACTTCTTTCTTCTGCATAATTTATAGGGTGAAAATTTTCATTCAGCTTGATGGTGAAACTATACTAATGTAAAAAGTGCAACATTTATACACTTTTAATAAATGATGAGTGTTTTAAGTCTACAAACAAATTATGGGAAAATGCAGTGTGAGATGATCAGTCTAAACAAGAAAGCATGCCAGCAGTTGCATCAGTGAGGCGACAGCATGACCTTTACTTTAGCTACATTACTGAATATAAATGCACGTCATCAGATCTTATCTTTATGACTCTAATATGTTTCTCATAAGAAGATGAGACCATAAATAAAAGGTTTACAATAATGTAGCCGTGACTAATGTTTGGCATGCTTTAAAAGGAGTTCTACAGAATAAATATTTAAATAAAACACATTGGATTACTGTCAGACAATTTGGGTTCACTCATTTTCTGAAAAATATTTTCCTGTAATTGATTTATAATGGAGAAACAAGCAACAATGTTTGTAGTTGATCAGTCTTTTTCATCCTGCTTTGGATCTTGTGCTCCATGACTTTATGCTCCAATCTAGAAAAAGCCAAAGAAAGGTAAAAGTAAAAGAAACTAACCAACTTGTGCTACTGAAAACAAAGCTCTTAAAACTTCTTTGTCCATCCCTTTCTGTGACTGTTTACCTGGCAGCAGGCTCTGTGCGGGATAATGCATGCACCCACCAAAAAGTGTCCTGCTTTGTCTTTTCTTTACTTCAAGTGCACTTTTGTTCATTCTATTTTTTGCTCTTACACCTCATCTCTGTTTCCTTTCTGCTTCTGTTAGGTCCGCAAATTTGTGTCCAAGGACAGCGCAGGCCTACGCGTGCGTAGTCACCCCTCCTTGCAGAGTGAACAGATAGGCATAGTGCATGTCAATGGCACCATCACTTTCACAGAAGAGGTAACTGACTGAAGATCTGACTATAAATATACCATCTGGAGCGCTCGTATCCACTTTTACTTTATGTTTGGGTTTTATTTTTAATCTGTAAAATCGAAAAAGGAAAGTTCTACATATTGTCCAGATCAGTGGTCCAGATCAGTGGTTTCCAACCCGGGTGCACCAGAGAACTCGGGTGGGGTATGAGACTTTAATGGCACAGAGGCTAACAGTGTTTTGCCCTAGAATAAAATAATACCACTACATTTATTGTAAAAAGTCTAAGTTTCCATCCAACACTGCTATTGCACACAGAGCTCCTTTTTACATGTGGTTATGTGTTTATGGGATTAAAAAAAATTAAAACTAAATAAATTGAACACATTTGTTTGTAACTAAAGGCTCCCACATACGCGGGCGTACTTCACTCCGCAGAGGTCCGCACATACCGGATTAGACTCGATGCGGTCTCCAAGCGGACGCCCGAAAGCCATGTCCACGCTAAGATAAATTTTTACATACGCATACATGGCGTTGCACAATAAACTGACTGGACTGTTTTGTATGTGACACCAATGTATTAAATTCCCTTCGTCATCCCTGGTCTGGTTTAATGGTCTTTTCTTTAGTTTTTTTCCAAGAGGCAAGCGATCTCTTCTTCCTTGTCCGTGGACGCCATGACTGAAATTGTGAGAAATTAAGGAATTTGTCACAAGCAAATTAAAATCAGGCCCAGGGTGGCTGCGGGAAAGTGGAATTTACCGGTGGGCCGGTCTGATTTGTGGGCTGCAGGGCCAGAGCTTTCTGCTTTTTTATTTTTTAGAACGTTTTTATTAACATTATATCAAACATAATGCTGCTGCTGCTGCTCCTGGGCTTGCGACCTGTCAGTCAGTCCAGTAGGCGTGTCAGTAAATGATTAATCAGCAAACTCAGTTTGTCCCGAAGGTAAATGCCTCTTACCTGTGAAGATGGGCGGCAGCCGCTCAGGGTGTACGCTCAAGTATGAAGTCTCAACCATTTGCGGACAGCGCGTGCAGTGTCTGCGCGACTCATGGAGTACACGCAGTACGCCAGAGTATGTGGGAGCCTTGACTTATGCAACGCCATACCTTATGGACATCACTCGACAATGATACCATCAAACAGATGCGGTGTTCTGAGTCAGACTTTCAGACTTAGAAAGATGTCAAACAAAAACTACACGCCACATTGGGGAAAAACAAAAGGTCCAATGGATTTTTGCTATGCAACATTGGGAGGAAATAATACAAATTTTTAGACATTTACAGTCTTTTACAAAAATCATATTTTCCTCATAGTGAACATACTAAAATGACTATTACATTTAGTCACTAAACTGGGGTGAACTGAATTTAACATACTTCATGTGATTCCAAAGATGACCTTAGTGTTTCCTGTTTATTTGATGCTTTGGAAACAGTTTCTACAGTTGGTGTTAGGTGTAGTGGGTGGCTGTGCTGATCTGTAACTACTACTGATAACTATTGTAAGGAACAAAGCAAACAGCTTTGGTGTGGCAAGCAGTAAAAACCAAGCCCTCACTTGGCCACCCAAACATAAAGAGACAGCTTGCATCACCCATGGCTGTTCCCGGGGGACGAGTCTGGTGTGCCTCATATTCACAATAAAGTTTGAAGCTGCTTACATTATGGAGTCTTCAGCTCCAAGACAAAAGATCTGTTTCAGCTGTTAAAAGACATTTAGACATTTCATCCCTGGACCGAGGTGTAAAGAAAATTAGGTTGGGAACCATTGGTATATATTAAATTCAAGTTAAATTTACCGGTATTTATAAAACACATTTAAAAACAGCGGTTGTTACCAAAGTGCTTAGCAATAAAAAGCAATGCCATTAGTTTAAATAAAAAATAAGAATTAAAAACCATTAAATAAAACCCCCACAAAACAATAAAATACTAAAACTCACACTGGGTTAAAAGTGAAAACAGAAATTTAAAAATAGTGACGCGGCCTGTCTGACATTGGGGGCAGATTGTTCCAAAGTTTAGAGGCCACAACTGAAAATTAAAAGCTTATAGTAATTTTTTATAGTGTTTTGTGATAATTTATGATATTTAGCACCCATAGAGGTTTTCATATGGCTTCATACACTTTTGCAAAACAATCTGAGACTATTTGAAAGACCTTCATACAAATTCTGAGCAAGTGATTTATTTATATTTAAAATTCAACTTGGTTAAATTGTAACAAATTTACAGTACCTTAGTCCCTCCTTCATTGCCGGGGTTTCCATTCTCAGTCCACCCGCGATAAGTGAAAAACTGCGAAGTAGTAATAGCAGTACAAGTCCTAAGAAGTAAGTAGTAGTTTATTTGAATATATATATATATATATATATATATATATATATATATATATATACAAAGGCTTTTTAAAACCTTCCCACACTCTTGCAATATTCTAAACAACGTTTCTAAACTCTTCATGCTCTAAAAGAGCACAGCATGTCATGATCTCCGCTCTCTGCCTCTGGCTGCTCTCTGCCAGCTCTCTCGGCCACGCCCACTTCTCCGCTACAGAGCGAAGATCATGACACGCTGCAGGAGGGAGCTTCTCCCTGCACATGTGGGCTGCACACAGCTGCAGCAAGTGCTAAGTAATTTAAAATAATTTATTTTAAATAAACAATCCATGCTGGTCGTGCGGTTCATCCATCAGCCAGTTGTGTGTCATGTTCAATCTCACTTTGAAAAACCATGAAAGAGTGAGTCCACGAAAGTCGAACTGCAAAGTAGTGAGGGACTATTGTACATTTTATATTTGCGAGTGCGCACAATGTATTCACTCCCATCCTCATGACAAAGCTCTAGTGACAATAACCTCTTTTGCATCCTGCTGTTGCTTAATATTGTCACAGCATTCCTGCAGCCTCAGAGAAGTCAAATATTTTGTTCGAGGGCGCTCTCCTTTTGTTGCCTCAATAATAAGCCGGCGTGGCTGAGCTCTGCTCTGTTGCTCGTTTTCTCTTAGATCCACAATGATGACGGTGTATGGCTCAGGCTCAATGACGACACAGTAAAGAAGTATGTTCCCAACATGAATGGGTACACAGAAGCCTGGTGCCTCTCTTTTAATCAGCATCTGGGCAGGAACCTACTGGTCCCCGCAGACGTAAGTAGAAGGCGAACCCTCTGAGCAGTTTGACGTGGTCTGGTAATAACAGCCTCCTTCGCTGTTTATTTGAAAAAGAGCTCATCTATGTTGTGTCATTTATTGAGTTTTAAGCATTTAACTTTGTGTCTGGAACCCACTTCACAAATGATCTCACAGCATGGTAGAATGTAATCTTGCATGATACCTCTATTAGAGCAGTGTTGAGTATGAAACTTTTACTAACACACAGTGCAAGGGGACATCTTCTGAAAGTGTGCATGCATTAACTCGTGTCTTAACTGTAACATGTGCCATCTTATGTGTAGCTGAACATTCATGTATGCAGTTAGTTTGGTGCATTAAAGTGAGTCCCAATGCAGGGATTGACTGATGAGGTCAAACAAAGAAACAATGACATCCTGGGGGGTGCTCTTTGGTTTAGTTAATGTCCCCCACTCACAGGTTTTGAACTTCATTGTAATAAAAGTGTAAACTGCATTTTGCTCCATGTCTAAATATACAGCATAATCAACTTATGAACTTTTATTTGCACATAGCATGAATGTTGCATTCTATTTAAAAGATGGTTGTTTTTGTCATGAAGTCATCTCAGATGCAAAAAACAAGAAAAAAAGATGGGGTCAAACTGTGCTACAGTTGCAGCTCTGCACTGGGATGCTTTTAGATGCTCAGTTTGAGGTCTGTCTGAACAGCACGACACACCACATCATTCAAGTGGGACATTTTTTTGGAAGTTTTGTATTTATTTCTATAATTGTGTACTTTCGGTTTGGGGTTTGGAAAACAAGATTGACTCCAGGTGTTTTGGAATGAACTTCTTTAGTTTACTGGTTAAATGTTGATCAGCAGCCATTCTTGGGCCCTTTAATCAGAGCTCCAAAACAAACCAACTTTTCTGAAAACTACTGCTCCTTTTTATTATATCTAATACCATCTTCTTGAAATATAGAAGTCAATCCTTTTTATTTTCTTCCAAAAAAATACAGTATACGCACCTTTTCCTCCCCTTCCCACTTCCTCCTCTTCCTCTGTCTGTTGTTTCATGACTCTCTCACGATTTGCTCAGACTGTCTTTAATGCTAGCCAAGGAGTCAGGGATATCGCCTTTTTGTCATGGACCCCATTAACTATATTCCCGACACAGGTGAGTTGGCTGAACGAGGGATACATAGTTTGACTGCCCCACAGCTAGTCATCTGTCAAACTACCCGTCGCCTTGAAACCCTTTGTGACTTTGTAGTTTTATCAGAATGCTAATGTCAGTCATAAAAAGTCATATATACATGGTAGTCTGTGCGTTGATAATATGATACATCAGTCAGCACTGCCTGTAGACTTCTGCAATGATCACGCTTAGAATTTTAGATACTTATTTTAAGCTTGCTTGTTGCATGGGTTTCAAATACTGATCCAGTCTGTTGCATGAGGTTTTATTTGAATTTTTTGTATTGAACATTGTATTAATATAAGCAAGATAGCATGCTTCTTTTAATATAGTGTAAAACTAATTGTTCTTTCTGCTTAATTTGAGAACTTATTGTCATTTGTTGTACAATTTAATCATTTTTTGTCTAATGCATTGTTCATTTTTGTATATTATGTACACCGTATATATGCTTTTCAAAACAATGAACAAAATAAAAAGTTTGAGCATATTTTGTTGCTTAGGAGGCACAGAGTTATTTGTTTTAGTAGAGTTGTAGCCTGATACTTTGTCAAAAGATAAGTGAGATGTTTTGCTCCTTACCCAGCTCTTCTGTAAAACGGCAAACTATTGCTTAGACCTTTAAAAGATGGTTCAAATCTTTTGAAGTGGGGTTATGTGTTAAAGGTATAAGCAATTAATATCTTACCTGTCGTAGATAGCACTTTTACCAGTCCGAGTTTGGACAAGTAGATTAATTTTTAACATTATTTTATGAACTTTTACATTTCTTTCTGTTTCACATTGCATAGGTAATCTGGCAAAAACTTGATATTCCTGTTGGAAATGTTGCAGGATTCACCAGAAGTGCTACAGCTAACTGCTACTAGTAGCACTTACAAACAATCCTAGAATTTTATGTAAATAACTGTGCAATACAAAATAGGTTTATAAATTAATGTTTGTGAACTTCTATGACTTTTTTTAAATTTGAGTAACCACCTTGGTTTAGGGCTCTCCTGCTGTCAGAAACCCTGGATTTCCAAACTTGAGATTGTTCATTCAGATATTTGCAAAGAGAAGACCGTCTTTTCTAACATTTCAGATACCACTTCAAATTACTTGAACTATTGCTTTAAAGAACACTTTATTTACAGCAGCTACTCACTAACCAGCTAATGTTAGCTTCTCAGAACAGTACCTAGTTGATACATGTTTGTTTTAGTTTAGTTTAATCCTTAGTCGTGCCAGCCTTTGTGTAGTTTTTAGGATTTTTAGATTTTGTTTTGAGTCTAATTTGTACCTTCAACTCTTGCAGGAAGTCAGGGGCCAGTCGGAGGAGAATGTAAAGGAGGTGAGCAGCTGCCCTTCCCACGAGGCTCCCATTGGGGTGCAGAGCAGGGCAGGGCAGGCCGGCGGCCCGGGCCTTTATAAGGTAGTGAAGACCGGCCCCTCTGGTCACAACATCAGAAGCTGTCCAAACCTTAGGGGTATCCCCATTGGAATGTTAGTACTTGGCAACAAGGTCAAGGCCATAGGCGAGGTACGCACACCCCCCAAATAATGCAATGTTTTTGTGGCTGGGGCTAATTAATTCAGTTTGTTTAGATTACATAACAAATTGTAAATAAATCTGAGTTATTTTGGCCCTAATCTCTTAATTCACTTTCTAAGTCTGCGACGGCTGCTTCTGGGCGTGGGTTGTGTTCTCTGCCTTTCTGCTTTGTGAGGTCTTGGAAACTTTTGTGGCTGCACCACTTTTGCATAATTTACTTTGTGTAAAAATGTGTTGCAGTTTTGCGGTATCACCTTCAGCTGCCTTGAGGCTTCTTAGTAAACATCTGATAACAAAGTGCCCAAGCCTCTCTGTGCCCTGACTCCATCTTTCCTGCACTTGTACAAGCTCTGCCTGTCATATACTTAAACATCTCAGTTATCGTTTGCTCTGTTGACGTGGAGCCTCCTCTCTTTTGGTTTTGACCTGTCATTGGTTACTGTGGTGTGTCATGCTGTTCAGTTGATTCCTGAGCCTGCAGTAGAATGCCCTGTGTGGATCTGGGACGTGCAACCTGCACTTACTAATACTTGCATTTGTGTCTGTTTTTCCACAATGGAAATATTCCAGGGATTTGAGAAACCTAACCTCATGCTGTTAAAAATTTGTGTCATCAGATGAGTTGAATGATTGCATGTCATGGATCTGTCATAGCAGGTCTTGGTTTTCAATGTGCTGTAGCAAACTGAACGTGTTATATGGAAATGGATGGGTATGATTCTGACTGTGTGAGAGAGTATGGATAAATAGTGCTGTTTGTGCATCAGGTGGTCAACTCAGAGGGAACTTGGGTACAACTGGATAAGAACAGTGTTGTGGAGTTTTGTGAGAGTGATGAAGGAGAAGCTTGGTCCTTGGCTCGGGACCGTGGTGGAAATCAGTACCTTCGCCACGATGATGGTAAGTTAACCGTGATCACCATCTAGCAGTAGCTGTAACACTAGTTGCCTTTGGTTTTAAGGATATTAGATTTCTAAATGTGTTTTCTAAAATTAAAATCATCATATTTGCAGAGCAAGCATTGTTAGACCATGGGAATCAGACTCCACCACCCAGCCCGTTTTCTGTGCAAGCCTTCAGCAGAGCCACAGCTTCAAATGGAGCTCAGGGCTTTGACTATGGCATCTCTAACAACAAAGGTGAGCTGAACTTCTTGTAATTTTCATTAAAAAATGTAAATTTTGTGAACTTACATTGACTGCAGGCCATTTTCTTCTAATATATATCTACAAATTAGGGATGCACGATATTGGACTTTTGGCTGATTTGCTGATATGTTAAAACTTATTTGGCCGATAATCAATGCGGATACCGATATTTTATATACATTCCTTTGTCAGAACATAGCCCTCTTATTTAGGCTTATTCGGTACAAAAATTGTGTAACAGCTGTAAGAGCTGGTGACATATTCAGTACCAGCCATATGATATTCATAGCACTTTAACTTATATTAAATGAAAAGTGTTAAATGTTATTTATTAGTATTAGTCACCTGTGATGCTGTCTCACTTGTGGAGGCTTGTTCCAGGTTCCTAGCTGCAGTGTGGGATCCTCTGCACTCCTGTGCATGAAGGACAGACTTTTTAAGTTCAAAGTTTTTGTCTATCCATTGTGCGGTAAGACTAATGCTAACGGGGCTAACACGACGTCCAATGTTTGGTAAAACTCACCCAACAAGTCGTGCTATCGGCTATTAGCTTCTCAATGATGTCGGAAATGACGGCTTATAGCTCGGGTAACGTTATGTCTGAAAAATATCTCAGACTGGGGACAATGTAGCGAGGCTCAACATATTCCATAAATCTTCGGAATTTAACATTCTCACCAACAAAAAAGAAAACTTCTACACCGCCGACATTTTGAATTTTCCTCTCCGCCGTAAGATCAGGTGGGCGCACGTGACGTCATCACGTTGTGCTGCGACGTCATCACGTTGTTGCAACGTCATCACGTTGCTGCAACGTCATCACGTTGTGCTGCCGCTGCAGGCACAGTGTTTTTTATATCCGCAAGTTATTTTAATGGAATGGCCGATGTCCTATATTGAACTTTAATGTTAATATCGTCCGATACCATGCCGATAATATCGTGCATCCCTAGTACAAATATATCTATATAGCTTATTTGTTAATTTTCTTCATGTATTAACATTTTGTCAGTCCTCATGCTTTGGACAAAACATTATAATCATGTTTCCCATTCAAACCTACTTCCTCTATGGTTTCTAAGTGTACTGTTTTAAATTAACAATTAGCACATAATTACTTCTTCCTATCCTTTTTTATATACATTTAAAGTACAAAACTGTTCACATAAGATTTTTTTGTGAACAAATATAAAAAAATTAAGCAAATTAGGTCATTGCTTATATTTTGCACTTTTTTGCACTTAAACGATATTTTTCATAGTATAGAACGTCGTTGCCTAAAATTTATTATCTCCACATTGATTTCTTGTCAATCAATCTTGCCATTTTTTAAATCAAATAACAAAAAACATGTATGCATGCCTTTTGTGTGTCTGCTGTTGCTGTTTCATGCCTTACATCTGTGGTGTCAGGCATATGTCTGCAAGCATGGGCTTTGCAGTTTTGTGCAAAAATCTGGCTCTGAACACCTCATCATTTATTCCATGGTGTTTTAATTTAGTCTCCTAAAAAAACATTTCATCTTTTTTTGTCATCAGTTTTCTTCAATCTGTGCTTGTGCACAATGACCACCAACTTGCTGAGCGCATCAGGGTTACTAAAGCATCAATGAACAGACGCTAAAAGTGTTTTTTGCCCTGCTCTGCCTGAACATTCTGCAGATGCAGTGTCAGATTTCTTGCAAATGGCTTTTCTCGACCCCACGTTTCTTAAAATAGAGGTAGAGCTCTTGGAATACTTGCTAATGTTAATTATAGAATCATACAAAGTAAAAAAAAATTTGCACTTGTGGTGTAGAACCAGAATAAAAGTCATTTTTCATCTAGACATCAAAGTCAATTTAACAACTATTATAGACACATATTTAGTTTATTAATGTTGTTTTTACCTGGTTGAATGTAGATGGTGTAGATCTGTATGCTTTAACTTAATCAAATACAATATTTAGCCTGTTAAGGTTTTTCTTAATGGCATCATAAAATGTTGGCATTGAATAGTGCCACATTAAAATAAATGTTAAGGTTGTAGCTAAGAAAAAATAAAACTATTACTAACATAGGCAGATCAATATATTAAAGTCTAAATTTTCCAAAAGCAAACTTGTATTAAAATTTTGTGAGGTGGAACTATGTTTTCTTATAGTACACCTTATTTGTGTGTGCTAGAAAAATTCCTCCAGAATTGTAATTCTATCTTTGTTTTTAAGTTTTCAATATGCATCCTTTGACTTTTACTGAAATGATCTTTTCATCTACAAGTAAAGATTCAATCAAGCTGATACGTTTCCAATATATATAAACAAATAGGACTTTCTGGACCCTAAATGCGTTTTATACCTGCATCAATGTCCATTATCAAATCTGAGAGAGAAAAAATTGTTTTTTCTTCTAAGCATTTGTATTGCAAATTACAACTTGATATTTTTAACAGGTAAACTGCTACTTTTTATTTATTTTAAATTTTCAGACTTCTTAGAAAATTGTAGGTCTTGCACAATAAACTAGACTTAAACTGTATGTTGCCTGTTAGGTGCCAGCTGGAACTAAAACCTTAGCTCATAGGTTACTGAGCAGTAAAAATAAGCTGCAGATGTAACTGGAAAATTTCTTCTGCTTCATCTGACTTTCTTAAACACCTTCCAAATATGTCCCCGTCAACCTTTTGTATAGAAGACGTGCCATTAGTGCACATCTGGTGTGATCTAGCACTTGGCTTTGGTGCGTTTACAGACCGGAAAACTTATCTCTGGTCGCTTAGCTTATAAATTCAGAGACTGAAGAAAACGGGTCAAATTTTTGAGACTGACCAGGTCAAGCTGAAGTTCATCCACTTGTGATCATCAGCTGATTGATTGGTGCACCCCCCAGAAAATGAGCCACGTCTCTTTCATCTCCCTCCAGCTCCCTCAAACCATAGTGTAAGCTGTAGTTTCTCCCCTTCCTCTGTCTCCATGTTTACAGGTGACCGGTTAAGTGCCATACTGAATTCCGTTCAGTCTGGGCCCTTCCTCTCAGCAGTTCCCTCCTCCTCTTCCTCCTCCTCCATATTTGAGCAAGCTGCCCAACCTCCCTCCTCCTCCTCTTCCTCCTCCTCTCTTGTCCACAGCCCATTTGTGTTTGGACAATCCCCCTCCCAAGTGTCTCAGCCACAACCACAGCTTCTGAGTAAGTCTGTCTTGCTTCTGACAGCACTTGCTTGCACAGGTGTTGATCTTTGTTCCTCACCAAGTTAATTAAATTAATACATTTATTTATTTTATTTAATCTGCTCATTTGAAGTATTTTGTGTGGAGAACAAATACAAGCATTACACGATGGTGCAGTTCTTTCCAACAAATCCAAAATATCTTCAATATGATCACACGTCTAATGTTCAATGTTGAAATCTTGTTTCCAAAAGAGGATACAGATGATATTCAAATAATCCAAACAAGATTTCAAACACATTTCTTGATAAAATGGGTATTTTTGCTTTGTGCTTGCGTAATAGACGGAACTGCTTCATATTCTGTTTGCTGTGCTTGCACTTTTGTGTAATACGTCTTTTATCCTAATACGTCTTTTATCCTTCATGTTTTTCATTATTGACTTAAATTTAAAAAGCTTTATTTCCAGTCTTGTTTCATTTTTCACCTTAACCAGCCCAAGACTTAAAAACAACTTTGAATTGCAGAAGTACATAAAAGCTGCAGCAGTTTGCATCAATAACTTGTTTTTATATACAATAGTCCCTCGCTACTTCGCGTTTCGTTTTTCGCGGACTCGCTCTATCGCGGTTTTTCAAAGTAAGATTGGAAATGACACACAGTTGACTGATTGATGGATGAGCTTCATGACCGACATGTAATTTTTATTTAAAATAAATTATTTTAAATACCTGCTGCACCTGTGTGCAGCCCACAGCTGTGGGAGAAGCTTCCTCCTGCAGCATGTCGTATCTCCGCTCTGCAGTGGAGAAGTGGGCGTGGCCGAGAGCGCTGGCAGATGGCAGAGAGCAGCGGGGTCAGAGAGCTGAAATCATGACATTCCGTGCTCTTTTAGAGCATTTAGAGTTTAGAAACATTGTTTAGAATATTGCAAGAGTGTGGGAAGGGTTTAAAACACATTTATATATATATATATATATATATATATACACTAAACTAAACTACTTCTTACTACTTGTACTATTCCTACTTTGTGGTTTGTGGAGTATCACACGCTCCTTCCAAACGCAGCTCGCCCGCGGTACACTTGTAGTGAAGCTCGTGACGACTCTTTACCTTGGCAGAGGATGGGTCCGCTACGGTCAAGAGGTCCCTGGCACGCTACCTTTCAGCGTCTCCTCAGGGCGGCTGCGACTCGGCAGAAGTCGTGAGATACTCCGTTCAACAGAACAAACTTCCTCAGAAGTTGTAGGGCATTCGCCTGGTGATAGTCACAGCGAGGTGCCGTGATCACAGCAGAGATGGATGACTCCATCAGACTGGAAAGCTGAGTCCGAAGTTCCACTCAGCAGTGGAAAAACTCCAGAACTCCAGAACAGCTAGAACTCTCCCAGAACCTCAGAAAACTCAGAAGACTTTACTCCAGAAGACTCGGAAGACTAATAGTTCCAGGAAGTGTCGACTTTTAAAGAGTTATGCTTCCGGTCACTTTAGTAAGTCCTGATTGGTTGAAGCAACCAACAGGGGTGTGGTTCTAGTGATGTCAAAGGGTTTTTACAAGTCAAGAAAACAGCAAGAATGTTTTAGGAACAGACAGAGAAATGTTTTGGCGAAGTGAGAAACACTGCAGGTGCCAGTTTTCTTATTTACTGTCTGATAGTTTTAAAAACATGACAGCCCGTTCTAACAACTTGTTTTTGACTGTCTCCGACTTTTGACTGAGATCACTCTTTCTCATTTCAGACAGAAGATCAAAAATGCATAATTACTTTGTAAAATAGACATTTAACTTGATTTCTAATTTAAATGAAGATTAAAAAATCATTAATACTGTTTCACAGTTGATTAAAAATGAGTGGTTCACTTCAACATTTAAAAATGGTATGAACTAAACACACTTTTGATTATCAAGATATTATAAAATAGTAATGATAATATAAAAAAGAGAGTGTTCTTTCAATTGATTAGTTCAGGATACAATTAGAAAGCCTCTGGATGAGCTCATTTGTATTTCTGGACTCAAATCAATGAAATAACATTTCCTGTCCCATGAAGGTCTTCAGAGGCAGGTTTTGGTCGGAGGCCTAGTCCACTACACACTTATTACGGGTCTTCAGGGTAGGGCTCCACCGCAATAAACGAGGGACTACTGTAATACATTAAAGTCTAGTTTGTAAACTTGATTACTGGTAACTAAGCAAAAATGTAACACATTTATGTATTTTAAGAATTTCCAGCTCTTCTTTTAGTTACTTCCTTACCTTCTGTGTGTCGCACGTTTTTTTCTTGTCCCTGTTGAAATTTTATTCAAACATCTAATAATTTTTCTGACACGTTCAATCATCTCTCACTTTGTTATATCTATGTTTTTCCTTGTATGTCATTTTCCATCTGTTGATTCCCATTACCGTACTTTTCAGTGTTGTCCCTTTACTTGTTCACCTTATTAATTTGACCCCAATGCCTTGTTCTTTGTTTCAAATTTGTTTTTCTTGCTTGCTTTCTTTTGTGCATTCCACGTCTTGCTTGTTTACCTGCTCCACTGTTTTCCGCTGTAGATGGTTCATCATGCAGCCTTGCTTCTCGTGAGCGTGTGCACAAAAGCAGTGTGTCGGTGGCTGGTCATGGTAGTGCTCTGTCATCTCTCGCTCTGAGGCAAAAGGGTGGGTAATCACAGAATGCATGCCTCCCTCAGACTGAACAGAGGGGTGGGTAGGAGCTCACGAAAAGCTTTAAATGTGAAAACCTTAATGTTTTTGTTTCTAACATTCAGTCTTGTTATCAGTCTTGTTAGCTAATCTTGCTTGTAACACACCTGTTGATTGGCAGCATTAGTTACCTGAGTTTTGACTGAATTAAAGGTAATATTCAGAGTGGTCCCAGGACTGGGCTGGACTCCATCTTTCATCAGCACCTCTTTGTTTCACATGTTGCTCTCATCCATCCCAGTGTTTTAACAACATGGTGATATCAAACTACACCAAGTCAGCAGCAACGTCACTGAAGCTTATTTTAAGGATATTCATCACTCACTTTCAATTAACTCACTAATTTGGAGCTTTAGCTTTCATTCGACTTGTTTTTTTTTTTCTTCTGCAGCATTTAAAATTGTTTGTACATTTATAATGTTGAGATTTAGAGCTGGAGTCACAATGCTGCTGCATTTTTTTTTTTGACGTAACTATGTTTGAATCATCAATGTTTAGGTGAACGAGGGAACATGATGTCTGGTGCACGGTCTATGTCCCAAACCAACAAACAACGTCAGGAGAATCACTCGCCCAAACAGGAGAGTCGAGGAAGCCGCTCATCTGAACAGAGCAGGCTCAAAACCAGTGAGGGTGGGCTTTCAGCCAGTGAAGCCCTCATCCTGCGGTCAGACACAGGCAAACTGAGGACTGACTCTCACAGTCGCTCCCACTCACCCAACCATAACACTCTGCAGGCCCTAAAGGCAGACGGCAGAACCTCAGGGATTCGGGCTGAGTCCCCGAATCCTGGCTCTCGCTCCTCATCTCCCAAACAGAAAGGTGTATCCTCATCAGGCAGATCCAGTCCTTCCAGCACCACTTCCCAGCTCCCTTCTCTAAACCATCAGGACACAAACCTTCCTCCTAAAGTTAGCTCGTCCTCTAAAGCCCGGCTTGATCCTCCCAGAGAGAGATCCAAATCAGACTCATACACTCTGGACCCAGACACACTCAGAAAAAAGAAGATTCCTCTTACAGAGCCAATCAGAGGCAGATCCACTTCCCCCAAATCCAAAATGTCACCTAAAGACCCAAATAAAGGGGTGATCAATAATGCGGAAAATCGTGTTCCTTCTCCACATGTGACCCAGGAGAACCTCCACAGTGAGGTGGTGGAGGTCTGCACATCTAGTGCGCTCCTCTCCAGTGAGGATGTCAATGATGAGAACGTGGAGCTCCATAATAATGAAGAAGGGTCGTGTAAAGTGCACTTTAGCATTGGCAAAGCCCCTGTCAAAGAGGAACTAGACATCCGCTCGTCGCCCAAAATCAGCCGCAAAACCTCGAGTCGACACACACGTCCTAAGAAAGACAAATCAGGACCTCTGTTTAAAGGGGAGAGTACGTCAAAGATCACAGAGCCCGCCAAACAGGCCATGTCACCCTCTGTAGCTGAATGCTCTCGTGCGGTTTTTGCTGCATTTTTGTGGCATGAGGGTATAGTCCACGATGCCATGGCCTGTTCCTCCTTCCTCAAGTTCAACCCAGACCTAACCAAAGAGCACGCCCCCATCCGCAATTCCCTGGGAGGGCAGGGGGCTGAGGAGAAGGAGAACAAGTTAAAAAACCGCCACTCCTTGGAGATTTCCTCTGCGCTTAACATGTTTAACATTGCTCCACATGGCCCAGACATCTCAAAAATGGGCAGCATCAACAAAAACAAAGTGCTGTCTATGTTGAAAGAACCTCCACTGCCAGAGAAGTGCGAAGATGGAAAAGGAGAGGCCATTTCTTACGAGATGTCTTCACATTCTTTGAGGCCAAAGTCCGTTTTACCATTAACTTTGCAGCACCTGGTTGCATTCTGGGAGGATATATCAATGGCCACCATTAAGGCTGCGACCCAGAACATGATTTTCCCCAGCCCGGGCTCCAGTGCCATCTTAAAAAAGAAGGAACATGAAAAGGACAGCAAAAAGGCAAAGAAGGAGAAGAAGAAAAGGGAGAAGGCTGAGGTGCGTCCGAGGGGGAATCTGTTTGGAGAGATGGCTCAGCTCGCCATGGGAGGACCAGAAAAAGACACCATCTGTGAACTGTGTGGGGAGTCTCACCCATACCCTGTCACCTACCACATGAGACAAGCTCACCCAGGTGAGAAACCAGCGTCTTCCAACTTTATTTACACAAAGCTGCATATTGTAAATCTGCTGTTCCAACGTCCTTCCTTTGTATTTCAATGGCAGGCTGTGGCCGCTACGCTGGAGGCCAGGGCTACAACAGTATTGGCCACTTCTGTGGTGGTTGGGCTGGAAATTGTGGAGATGGAGGCATAGGAGGCAGTACCTGGTACTTAGTTTGTGATCGCTGTCGGGAGAAATACCTCAGAGAGAAACAAACTGCAGCCAGAGAAAAGGTGGTGTACTACTGAAAAGCATCAGTGTTTTAACTTTCATCCCTCTCTTAATGGAAGCTGTAATATCAGACTCGTCATCTAGTGGAAACTAATTATTTATATGTTTGTTTTAGGTAAAGCAGTCAAGAAAGAAACCTCTGCAGGTGAAGACCCCAAGGGCACTACCTACTATGGAGGCCCACCAGGTGATTCGGGCAAATGCCTTGTTCCTGTTGTCCCTCAGCAGTGCAGCTGAGCCCAGCATGCTGTGCCACCACCCTCCTCGACCCCTTCATTCCCAGTTGCTGCCCAGCCTGAAGGAAGGCGTGTCAGAGGAAATCCCCAGTAAAATGGGTTGCCTTTACTTACAGACACTAGCAAGGTAATTTATAAGCCCAGCTCATCAGATAATCAGTGATTGTTTCCATTATGTTCCAAGTCCAATTCTCCTGTCATTTCTAAGGCAACACACTGAGAACTTTGGGGCCTACCAAGATGACAACCTCTTCCAAGATGAGATGAGATACCTGCGCTCAACATCTGTTCCTGCACCCTACATTTCTGTCACACCTGACGCATGCCCCAATGTGTTTGAGGAACCAGAGAGCAACATGAAATCAATGCCCCCCAGGTAACACTCTGTTACACTATGTCTGTATTTACATCTGTGGTCCCTTAAAACGAGTCCTTTCCAACTGATATCATTTCATATTTTTCCCCTTGATTTAATCACGAGGGACAGTTCAGATTGTTTTAAGTGGGATTCTGTGAAAAGGTTATAAACAATTGATATATTTTCAGATTGGAGTGCTCTTAAGACAGTTTGTCCACTTTAATACTGTTGGCTTGTTGTAGTCAGAATAAAACTACTCAAAGTTGAGGTTGTTTTGCTTTTCTAACTTAATAAACTTCACATTTGATGAATATGTAGAATACTATAAATAGTACATTTAAATACGTTAAAAATAGTTTTTACAATGTGGATGATTCAGTTACGAAGTGTGCAGCTTTTCTCACTGTGGTGTTTTCTTCAGGGCTTAAACAAAATTTTTTGTGTTGAGTTTGTTGACTAAACATAATTCAGTAGATTATTAAAAAAGGCAAATAAATTACAGTTTTTGCATTGATTTTGTCTATTTTCTTTGTTTGCGTTCTATTGTTCTACTTTTAGCAACAAGACAGTTCATAAACTGTCATTTGCAAACTTAACAGCCGTCGTAATGAGAATGTTCATTAGTCAAAATGGGATTACAGCCAGAAAACTTATAAAACTGATGTTCCACAAGTTTTTATTTTAACTTGTGATACAGTGATGTAAAAGCTTGACACTGAAAGTGTGATTTTGCCTTTTTAACTTTGTTTAAAATCAAGAATAAAAAAAAAAAAAAAAAAATAGCTCCGGTAGTTATGTGCACAGTTAAAAATAACTTAAAATTTCCATTTTTTTGTTTGCCTGACTGATATATTTTTCATTTTAAAACACTTTTTTTATTTAAAGAGATTGTATTCAAAGATTTCAGCTCATTTTGTTTTTTTATTAGAACTGAACACATGCAAATGTTTATTACCGTGCTTGCCGCCGTACACGTTGCACCGCCATGTAAGTCGCATCAGTCCAAATATGTCTGATAAAGTGGAAAAAACATACATTAAATATGTTGCATCTATCATGCGTCACCGCTGACCACCTGGAAATGTGGGCCGGTGTTGTGCCAAAAATCGATTGTCTGCCAAATGGCGGCTGCGGGAGCGTGCACGGGAGGACTTTAACAAGAATTTAACAAGATTAACACTTAAAAACAATTGTTTATTTGCTCAAAATTATAGCAAAGGTGTGTCTCAGTCTAACTTTTCCTTAATAAATGCACTTTGACGGTCAAATCAGCTGCATTTCAAAAGTCAATTCGCGGCTGCTCGAGCGTGCAGAGGAAGGACTCGCTGTGCATTTCTTTGAAATTTACCAAGATAACCACCTAAAAACAATTATTTGTTTGCTTGACATTATAGTAAATGTGTGTCTCAGTTTAACTTTTCCTTTATAAATTCACTTTGACGGTCAAATCAGCTGTATTTCGCCTGGGCGCCGCGGTGAAATGCAGCTGATTTGAGATTTGCTCCAGGAGTAGGAAGGTGGCCTGTATGCAAACCAAGTGTCTCATTAATAGCCACTTCTACCTATTAATGAGACACTTGGCTTGCCTTATTACTCAACCGCCCTCTAGTGGATGAAAATGGTAGTGTTCATATTTTCCATGTCAGAATGAATGAAATTGTCAGATCTCAGCCAAGAATTGGTTATAAATATGAGAAAAAAAACATAAATAAGTTGCTTCGCTGTATAAGTCGCAGGGCATGCTAATTTATACAAAAAGGTGCAACTCATACAGCGAAAAATACGGTAAATTATTACGTGCAATGACCTTCTTGGTGGGATGTGTTTCTCTTGGTAAGTGAAACGCTGATGTTTCAACAAAATGCCTGTTTGCAAGATCTGAAATATTGCTCTAACATTTTGTCCTGACAATGGTCATATTGTTCAACTTTGTTGTCAAGGCCAGACATGCCTTCTCTAAAATGCTGTCGGTATTAGAAAAAACGTAGTCATTTTTTTATCAAATACTTTCATCCCTCTTTTTCTCCTTTTAATTTTAATCCAACATGAGGTTATTTTTTAAGCCAGTCAACAGAATTTTTGAAGAAATGTATTTTGATGAGGTTTAAGCCTGTTGTTTTTTTGTCTTTATTTGCGTTCAGTCTTGAAACCAGTCCGATCACAGACAGCGACACTGCAAAGCGCACTGTGTTTCAGAGGTCTTATTCAGTTGTAGCATCTGAGTACGACAAACAACACTCGCCTTCTCCAGCACGAGTCAAAGCCGTGCCCAGACGAAGGGTTCATAGTGGTGATGCAGGTGAACGTTTAAATAACTTTCTATATTTTTAGAACACGTCACAACATTTTTCTAACGATGAACTGTTTATTTTATATATAGAAGTGGGCTCTTCCCTGCTACGCCACCCTTCTCCAGAGCTCTCCCGCCTGATATCAGCTCATGGCTCCCTCAGTAAGGGGGAAAGGAACTTCCAGTGGCCCGTCCTGGCTTTTGTTATCCAGCACCATGACCTGGAAGGCCTAGAGGTGGCTATGAAGCACGCACTGAGAAAGTCTGCCTGCAGGGTGTTCGCCATGGAGGTACGCCCAATTTTTTTAATAAGCTTTCATTTCAATCTCATTTTGGTTTTGTGTAATAAAAAACGTATCCAATTGTCTTTTCATACCCTTCTCAGGCATTCAACTGGCTCCTGTGCAATGTGATCCAAACCACATCTCTGCATGACATCCTTTGGCATTTTGTAGCATCTCTAACTCCATCGCCCTGTGAGCCTGAAGATGAGGAAGATGAAGAGAACAAGGGAAACAAAGAAATTGTAGAACAGGTACAACATACTAACAGCTATGCACCTTTTTTCTTTACTGCTGATCTGTCAGGCTGTCTAATGTCAAACATCTTCGTGCTGCCCAGGAAAGAGACCTCGGTGTATGTGAACACCCCTTGTCGGACATTGTGATTGCCGGGGAAGCAGCTCATCCTCTCCCCCACACTTTCCACCGCCTCCTTCAGACAATCTCTGACCTTATGATGTCACTTCCCAGTGGCAGTGCACTACAGCAAATGGCTCTTAGGTAAAGTTTCTGCATAAAACGGTCATATTTGCTCAATGTTCCAAATCATGACCGACTTAACTGTCTTTGTTCACACTCAGGTGCTGGAGTCTGAAGTTTAAGCAGTCCGACCATCAGTTCCTCCATCAGAGCAATGTTTTCCATCACATCAACAACATCTTGTCCAAGTCAGATGATGGAGACAGTGAGGAAAGCTTCAACATCAGTGTGCAATCAGGCTATGAAGCAATAAGTCAGGCAAGAAAACAAGGAATATACACAGATTGGACTGTTTTACTAGTATTAAATAAACCTGTTATCTGCTGTGCATAAACAAGATGAAAATGTTTGTTTTATAGGACCTCTGCCTGGTCACCTGTTTGAAGGACCTGACGAGTGTTGTAGACATCAAGACATCCAGTCGGCCCGCCATGATCGGCAGCCTGACAGATGGCTCCACCGAAACTTTCTGGGAGTCCGGAGACGAGGACAAGAACAAAACCAAAAGCATTACGATAAGCTGTGTGAAAGGCATAAATGCCACCAAGGTGTCTGTTCACGTGGACAACTCCAGAGACATCGGGGTAAGGAACTACACCAAACTAGACTTTTAACTCCTTATGATCAAATATCTTGTGGAATTAATTACAAAGTGAAGAGATTATTACCTGACACGTTTCAGTGAGTTAAATACTTTCTCATGCCGACAGAACAAAGTCACGTCGGTCACATTCCTTTGTGGCAAAGCAATTGAGGACCTCTGCAGAATTAAGCAGGTATGAGCATTTGTTTGGGATACACCATAAAATTATTTGTAAAATAAAGGATAAAAGGTGAGCTTTAATGGATATTGTTGAAGTTGAAAGCCTCTGTTATACACGTTATGTATGTTTTGAAATGCTGCAAGTCTCTTATTTACAATTTAAACAACTTTCAGTTGCAAAAAGAAAGAAAATTTTTCCTCTGTGCAGTCTCTATATAAATTAATTACTTTGTTACTCTATCCACCTTTCAAGTTGTACACTCTCATTTTAAAAAGGAGCCCAAATAACCACAAATAAAAAGTTACACTAGTGCAGGGCTATTCCACAAAACTGCTCAGGGGGCCACAGTTTCTGAAAGCCAGCAGCTCGGGGGCCGGACATCCAGCAATTAAAGTCATTACGTAAATAAACCAAGTATTACAATGATCTGTTACCTTTTAAATGTGTTTGTTTTATTGCATTGAATCATAAATGCAATAAACAGAACCCAAACCCAGAACCAGTGTTGCCAGATTTGCTATAGCAACAAGCAACCAGCTCTATGAAAAAAAGCCCCAAAAAATACACAACTGGCAACCCACCACATTGTGTAAAACAGAGACCGTTTTTAAACAGTATAAACATACATTTATTGCATTACACATAAACAACAGCAAAATTATGCTAAACACTTTGAATAACATACTTTTATGCCCAAAATCATACTTTTTCTACATATTTTTAAAAACAAAACATCCTGACATCTGTGTGTGAGTGGAGCCCCCTAGTGGTTGACTACAGTATGAGTGGACAATGCCCCCCTGTCGCCTTGTCAACTTTGGGTGGGAGCGATAAACAGGAAACCAGGGCGTGGAAGGGACAAACTACCTACTACCACTTGTCTTTTGCTTTATTGTGCAGAGCTGGGAGTTAATCAACTGGTTTCACTCAGAAGGAACGTCAAGCCCAAATAAGTAACTTCACATTCAAAAACAAGCCCAAAAAAACGGGACTCACAAGATTTACAAGCAACTTTAGAAAAAAACAAGCCCAAAGTTGCTTATAATAAGCAGACTTGGCAACACTGCCCAGAACACTCCACCCAAAAATAAATAAATAAATTATGCATTCAATGGTGGGCCAGACTGGCCCGCAGACCGCCAGTTGAATAGCCCTGCACTTGTTGGTTATGTTATGGGCTTGAAGATCATGCTTGTTTTTTTTCACCGCAGATTGATCTCGACTCGCGTCACATGGGCTGGGTGACGAGTGAGCTTCCTGGAGGGGATTATCATGTGATCAAAGTAGAACTGAAGGGTCCCGAAAACACACTGAGGGTGCGTCAGGTGAAGGTTCTCGGTTGGAAAGAAGGCGAGAGCATCAAGATACTTGGACAAATTTCAGCCAGCATGGCTCAGCAGAAAAACTGTGAAGCTGAGACTCTCAGGGTTTTCCGCCTCATCACCTCACAGGTCAGTCAAAGTGCATTATTGACACGGGGTTATGTTTTTACGGATAATGCATTTGATTAGCAGCGTCAGTTGATTGCAAATGTTTCAGTAGATACTTTCTGCTCACATTTAGGTTTTTGGAAAACTTATCTGTGGAGATGCAGAACCAACTCCTGAGCAGGAGGAGAAAAACCTGCTTTCATCACCAGAAGGAGAAGACAAGGTCTGCATTCTTATAAGTAACAGTTAATGGAAGATTCACTAACATTTAATCATTTTAAACTTGTGTCTTTCTGCAAACAGGCACCATCTGATGCAGACCTCAAAGAACACATGGTGGGAATCATTTTCAGCAGGAGTAAACTAACCAACCTGCAGAAACAGGTACATTTCAGAGACACAGAAAAGAAGCTCTACAAAATGTATTACCAAACATAATGAATGCATCGTGTTTCCAGGTGTGCGCGCACATTGTTCAGGCCATCCGCATGGAGGCCACGCGTGTGAGGGAAGAGTGGGAACACGCCATCTCCAGCAAAGAAAACGCCAACTCGCAGCCGAGTGATGACGACGCCTCCTCAGACGCGTACTGCTTTGAGCTCCTCTCTATGGTTCTGGCTCTGAGTGGCTCTAACGTGGGCCGGCAGTATTTGGCTCAGCAGCTCACGCTCATGCAGGACCTTTTCTCTCTTCTGCACACTGCTTCTCCCAGAGTACAGAGACAGGTAGGACAGAACGTACACATAGACATGATTACGAGTTTACAAGTTTTGTGTTATAAGGTAGATTTTGAGCTTTTTGTTCACTTAAAATGTATAAATCTTTTCATAAAGCACATTGCATGTTTGCTACAATGTTTTTGGGCAACACTGCCATCAGCTGGTAGTGAAAGGAATCGCATAATGTCAGCAAGAGTACACAAGTGTGCTCTGAGCGGTTGCGCATTAAGGCAGATCCTCTTTACCGGCTCTGAAAAGTTATTTTTTGTGTATCATCTGTTTTTCCTTTCCAGGTGACTTCATTGCTCAGACGAGTCCTACCAGAGGTGACACCAGTGCGACTTGCCAGCATAATCGGAGTGAAGGCTCTGCCACCAGCGGATATCAGCGACATCATCCACTCCACAGAGAAAGGTGACTGGAGCAAACTTGGCATCCTCGACATGTTCCTGGGCTGCATCGCCAAAGCCCTCACTGTGCAGCTGAAAGCCAAAGGCACCACTATCTCTGGCACCTGCGGCATGGTTGCAGGGAAAGGGGTCACAACGGTTACTCTGCCCATGATCTTTAACTCCAGGTGAGCCAGCTTGAGGAGCAGCAAAAAAAAAAATTATGCACAATTTGTTACATATTTACTCATCTTGCTACTTTTTTTTTGCTTGTCCTCAGCTACATCCGCAGAGGTGAGAGCCACTGGTGGATGAAAGGTTCCACGCCTCCACAGATCGCTGAGATCATCATAAAGCTGATCAAAGACATGGCAGCTGTGAGCGTTTTAGTCATTGCAAATGTGCTGAAACATGAACAATCCAATCAAAGTACCACCAGCACCCATGTGTCTTTCATTTATTTAGGGTCACCTTTCTGATGCCTGGTCCAGGATCACCAAAAATGCAATTGCCGAGACCATCATAGCCCTCACTAAAATGGAGGAGGAGCATCGGTCTCCTGTTCGATGTATCGCAACGACAAGGGTACAAAAACTCTCATAGATGGCATGAGTCAGCGCTTAGAAACGTCGTCTGTTTCTGATCTTATTTTCTTTTCTTTCCTTAGCTGTGGCTGGCCTTGGCGTCGCTGTGCGTGCTTGACCAGGATCATGTGGACAGGCTGTCCTCTGGCCGGTGGATGGGCAAAGACGGACAGCAGAAGCAGATGGTGAGACTTAAACACAGCCAAAAGTGACAGTGAACGGAAAAAGCTTAGAGACATATTGATTTATTCCCTTCTCTCTTCACAGCCCATGTGTGACAATCATGATGATGGTGAGACGGCAGCCATCATACTGTGTAATATGTGTGGCAATCTTTGCACCGACTGTGACCGCTTCCTCCATCTGCACCGACGCACACGCTCCCACCAGAGACAGGTTAGCTCTAAGTTTAAGCTTGGATATGAATTGATAAAGATATTGGAGGTGAACAGTTTGTTTGTTTTTTGTTTCGATTAACTTTGTGTTCTTGTCTGTGACAGGTGTTCAAGGAGGAAGAGGAGGCCATAAAGGTTGATCTCCATGAAGGCTGTGGGAGGACTAAGCTTTTCTGGCTCATGGCTCTTGCAGATTCAAAGACGATGAAGGCCATGGTGGAGTTCAGAGAGCACACAGGTAACACAGCAAATAACACACCAATAAACAATTTTACTTGATTTCTACTGAGAAGTTTTGAACATGCTTTCCCACTCCATTCTATTTACCTAGCGTTGTTCTGACAAGATAAATGTTTTTGCAGGTAAACCAACATCCAGCAGCTCTGACGCTTGCAGGTTCTGTGGTACAAGAAATGGTACCGAGCTGTCTGCAGTGGGTAGCGTCTGTTCAGACCCAGATTGTCAGGTACGAACTTAAAACAGAATCTGTCGACAAAGTTTACAAAGAACTTGTGTTTGAATAATCCTTGAGGCCAAATCAGAAACAACAATTTGTTTATATGCAGCATATAGACTGAAACGTACAAATCAAATAGGGAAACAAACAAACAAAAAAAATCTTAACAATAAACAAAATGGTTAAAAACCTAAATAGTTGAATTATTTATTGTTAGAGAATTATTTTCTTAGTTCTTTATTTGCATATTTAATTAAACCAAAAAGCTCTATCTTTTGTCAAGAAATATTAAATAAAATTTTTGGATAGACATAGAGATTTATTCACCCTTTTTATTGAATTTAATATACATAATCGTTTTTTTTTTGTGTGTGTGTGAAAATACTGTATTTTTAGGACTATAAGGATGTTCTTAAAATCCTTATAATTTTCTCAAAAATGGTCTTATGTGTTAATTCTGGTTGTGCTTACTGACCTCAAACCAATTTTATGTAGTTATTGTGATTGAGTTAAATAAAGTTTGACTTATCTGCTTTTGTTTCTCTTAATGCGCCTTATAGTCCAAAAATACAGTACACTTGTTGGGTTTCCCTGTCATTAGGAAGATAAATAAGTTTAGATTGCAGGTTAATAATCTCATTGATTCCCTCAAAAATAATAATTTAGATGCATATTAATCATTGTAGGACTTTTAAGTCAAATCAATAGGAAACTTAGCAAAAACAACAGAGTTGTGTGTATAAGTGTGTTGTAGTTTTAAAGCATGGTGTGTTTGTCATCTCTTGTCAGGAGTACGCTAAGCTGGCCTGCAGTAAGACTCACCCCTGTGGACACTCATGTGGAGGCGTGAAGAACGAGGATGCCTGCCTGCCGTGTCTGTACGGCTGTGATAAGAACGCCGGATGTCTGAAACAGGATGCAGATGACATGTGTATGATCTGCTTCACAGAAGCTCTCTCTGCTGCTCCTGCAGTACAGGTAGCCCCGAGTTGAAGAGTTTGACCTCTAAAATTTCTCTTTGCTTATTGTGATGTCTAACTGTTTGGTCTGCTTCCAGCTGGACTGCACTCACGTGTTTCACCTTCAGTGCACTCGGCGTGTTCTTGAAAATCGCTGGCTAGGGCCCCGGATTACATTTGGCTTCATGTCGTGTCCCATTTGCAAGGTACGTTGTTAGCAGAGTGTCTCAAATGACAGCGGGGTTGAAACTGTTCCTCTACACTTCAACAGAAGAACTTTAATGCACACTGGCTGGTTTGTTTGTTTGTGTCCTTGTTTACAGAACAAAATCAATCACTCTGTGATCAAGGACCTGCTCGACCCCATTAAGGAGCTGTATGAGGATGTGAGGAGGAAGGCTCTGATGAGGTTGGAGTATGAAGGTCTTCACAAAAGTGAGGCGATAACTACACCAGGAGCACGCTTCCACAGTGACCCTGCTGGTTTTGCAATGAACAGATATGCATACTATGTCTGCTACAAGTGTAAAAAGGTGACGGCAGGTTGCAGGATACTTTCATTGGCCAGTTGGATACGCATTGAAATTTACCAGGTTCCTGTTTTTATAGGCATATTTTGGGGGGGAGGCTCGGTGTGATGCAGAGGCAGGACAGGGTGATGACTACGACCCCAGCGAACTGATCTGTGGAGCGTGCTCAGATGTCTCCAGGGCTCAGGTGGGTAAACAATACCTGTGAGGATCCTGGCTTTGCTGCAACCACTCTAAAGGGATAAAGTGCATTGCACAAAATGCTGCATGCTCAAGTTCCTTCTTGTTCAGAGTGAGGTCAGAAGATTTGGACTTGTGTGTCTGAAGAAAAACTCATGGTTGTAGATGGTTTATTTAAAGTGTTTTCCACCGTACACGTCGCACCACCCTTATAAGTCGCATCAGTCCAAATATGTCTAAAAAAGTGGAAAAATCCATAAATATGTGGCTTCGCCGTATACGTCGCATCTATTATGCGTCACCGCTGACGCGTCGCGTTTGTTATGCGTCACTGCTGACAACCCGGAAATGTGTGCCGGTGTTGTGCCAAAAATCTATTGGCTGCCAAATGGCAGCCGTGGGAGAGTGCACGAGAGGACTTTAACAAGAATTTAACAAGATTAACACTTAAAACAATTATTTGTTTGCCCAGAATGATAGTAAATATATGTCTCAGTCTAACTTTTCCTTAATAAATGCACTTTGATGGTCAAATCAGCTGCATTTCAAAAGCTGATATGCAGAAACATGAACACGCAGAGGGCGACTCGGTCCATTTCTTCAAAATTTAACAAGACAACCACCTAAAAACAATTATTTGTTTGCTTGACTTTATAGTAAATGTGTGTCTCAGTTGAACTTTTACTTAATAAATGCACTTCAATGGTCAAATCAGCTTCATTTCGCTGGGGCGGCGCAGCGAAATGAAGCTGAAGCGGTTGCTCCAGGCAGACAACGGTGGCAGGTTATGGCAAGCCGACTGTGTCATGAATAGCCACGTTTACCTATTACATGATACAACAGCATGCCATACAGCTCATCTGCCATCTAGCGGCTGAAGATGGTAGTGTTCAATATTTCAGTCAGAATGAATGAAAACGGTCATATCTCAGCCAAAAATTTGTTTATACAGTAAATATGGAAAAAAATCCATAAATACATCACTTCAGCTTATAAGTCACAGGGCATGCAAATTATGCAAAAAACATGTCTTATAGGCTGAAAAATACATTAGTACAAAACTGATACATTAAGAAACAAATTGCCGATTATAAGTGAGTTGGGTCATTTCTCAAAAGACATAAATGATGTGCATCTTAAAAGATCAGATTGTAGTTATATTTGTTTGAAAAACAATTTATATTCTTATTTTTGATATATCTGCTGTTTTTTTCTGTCAGATGTGCTCAAAGCATGGCACGGATTTCCTTGAGTATAAATGTCGGTACTGCTGCTCGGTGGCTGTTTTCTTCTGCTTTGGCACCACACACTTCTGCAACGCCTGCCATGATGACTTCCAAAGGATGACCAGTGTCCCCAAGGAAGAGCTGCCCCATTGTCCTGCAGGTCATTATTTTTATTCTTGGTCTTTTTTAAAACCATTGATGAGAAAGCCATGAATCTTAACCTCACTTTTTTTCCCCTTTGTATGGTTATTTTCTGAGAATTTCATAAAGTTTGTTCTAAAGTTAATAAGATATTTTACTAACAGACAAACAAATGCACAACACCCACACAGGTTGTTCTGTCGTAGGTGATAAAAATCATTTTGAAAACCTCGGTCGTACTGAATGTATTGCATCTTTACCTAAAGTTGGAAATACTGTAATGTATCACCAAAGACCCATTTTAATACCATGCATGAACAAGTACTAATGTATTCCTGAATCATCAAAACCAAACCTAAAATATCTCCAGAGGCAAACGTTAATCTTGAGCTTTTTTTTTTCTCAAGTGCCCATGAATTTGTTGCTGTGCTTGCACTTGCTGCCACCATTCCACTTGTTATCAATTTATCTTCAGTGCTTACAGCCTAATATAAAAGCACACTTTCTGAACTTTAGCACTTCTTACTAGAATACTGGTTGTCATCCACTTCCCAGAATTTTAGTAGAAATAATAATATGCTTACGTATGTTATTCTCATCTTCTCTACAACAGGACCCAAGGGAAAGCAGCTGGAAGGCACTGAGTGCCCTTTGCATGTGGTCCACCCACCCACAGGCGAAGAGTTTGCTCTGGGCTGTGGGGTGTGCAGAAACGCTCACACCTTCTAATCTGCAAAACACTTTTTTTTTTTACTGGAAACCAGTCAGTCTACTGTGATTTCTTACTGCTGCTGCTGCAGCTCAGCAGTGAAGCTCAGCTCTTGCATGAAGTCTCCTGGACACTGGACCAGGTTTCTGCTCTACATCAAGAGTCCTCAGGTCTGCTCTTTCTTCAACATGAGTATCCAGGCGCTGGAGCTCCTTCGGACTCTGAGTAACCTGAATGGAAACACGAACAATTTAAAAAAAGAAGCAGAGAAAAAAAGAAAATAACTTGTGAAGTGTTTGCATGCGGCCGTTGTATTCCCTCGGCTTCTATTGACGTTGCACACCTCCCAATCACCAAACTATAAGAAAACAAAATCAAACATCAGATATGATATAGGTTTGCATAAAGGCAACTGTGGATGAGAGTTGACTTAAAAAAAAAAAGGAACGGGTCATATTTCCAGCTTCCCAACTATAAATTTAAAATATTGTTATATGTAAACTTTTCATAATCTTGTACAGTATTCTTCACTGTCAAGTGCATCATAGGTTGATGGACAAAAAAAAGATGAGTTGGTTGATAAGACTGTTAAGTTTATTATTTTGGGGAGGAAATAGTGTATGATTTATCTAATCTTGTATATAATGATACTATTCAAAGTACCTGTATTTCGAAGTTGCTCTCTTCACTTCAGTTTTGTTTGATATTCTGGGTTGTTTTGAGCCAGATCTTTTATTGAAGTGCAATACTGGGTGTGCCTCCTATTTCGCAGCTGTTTAAATCTATGGAATGTATGTCAAATAAAGCCACTGTACATTTTTATACAGTAGACTGTCGTTTCCCCCCCTCCTCCTCCTAAATGTTATCTCTTCTGTTGTCTGGAATGAGGAGGGGGGTGCCTGGCTTGCAGTGAAGGGAAAGATGTATATTCTGTTCACAGCTCTGATGAATAACAAAGCACCAAAATCCTGCAGTAATTGAAAAGCAAAGAAAAACTCGTAAGATTACAGCTGAACAATATGAGGGGCCAGTCTTTACGCCAAAAAAAAATTATTGTGCACCTGTTATGCTTTTTTTTTTCCTAGAATGAGGCAGAGAGATTGGGGACAGGGAAAGTGTGCGTGTGTGTATCGGGGAGGGGGGTATTAAATCAGCTGCTGTTAAATACAAAGCTTATTACTTGTGAATCTGCTCTGTAATATCTGTGGTGGATGGAGTTGAATGGTAATAAACCAGAATCTCTGTTACACAAAGTACACACTGTGTTTTTGAATTATTACAAAAAAGTTTCTTAATTTCTAATAAAATATCTTATTGTAATCAACACATGAGTTGGAAAAGATTTTTATGATACCGAGAGTTAAGAGTTAAAAACGATTGGTCACTGTAGGAACAGTTGTTTCTCACAGCATTTTTACCCTTTTGATTTACTCTGCTATTAAAATATGTTCAAGCAATCTGTTTTATGAGTTGATTTGTTTAAATGCCAGAGAATTAAAAAAAAAAGTTCAGTGTTGCAGAAATTAAACCAAAATACTTCACATTACCATACCATTTTATTTATAGAGCACTTAAAACAGCGACAAGGCCAACCAAAGTGCTGTACAGACAGAACAACAGGTAACACACAAAGCAAAATACAAAATGAAGTAAATCAGAATATAGACATAAAAACGATACAGATAATGACGACTAACCAGTGTGGAGTGTACAGGATCAAAACAGATCATCTGGTGTTGAAAGCTACTGAATAGTAGGAGTTTTTAAACGGGACTTGAAAACCGAGAGGGAGGAGGCCTGTCTGACAAGCAGAGGTAACTCGTTCCAAAGTCTTGGTCCTGCTACAGAGAAGGCCCTGTCACCTCTGCGCTTAAGACGAGTTCCTGGAACAGTGAGGAGCAACTGGTCCGCCGACCTCAGGGAACGTGGTGGAACATCAGAATCAGTTTATTATTGCCATGTCAATGAACGAGGTTCACAAACTAGGAATTTGCTTCGACATAAAGGTGCGAATAGTAATAAAGTAAAAATGAAAACATAACATAAAACGTGTACACCCATACAATAGAAAACAATTTTTAAAAAGCTTAGAAAACAGTATAGATGGAGTATTCAATTATAATACAGATGTAATTTGACCAAAGCAGAAATTATGAGGTAACATGAGTGTTCAGGAGTCCAACAGCAGAGGGGAAGAAACTGTTCTTATGGCGGGAGGTTCTATTCCGAATGGACCGAAGCCTCCTGCCTGAGGGGAGTGGTTCGAACAGACCATGTGCAGGGTGAGCAGGGTCAGCTGTGATCCGACCTGCTCACCTCACAGTCCTGGAGACGTACAGGTCGTGGAGGGATGGAAGGCTGCAGCCGATCACCTTCTCAGCTGAGCGCACAATGCGCTGCAGTCTGAGTCTGTCCCTGGCAGTGGCCCCGGCGTACCACACCGTGATGGAGGAGCTGA